CCCCAGGACCTCCCAGGCAGTGGAGGCTGCTGTGGCCCCTGGCCCTACATAGCTCAGCCTCAGCCACGGCCACTCACTCACTTTTTGTGGGCTCTTGGCTGCGGTGGCTTCTAGAACCTTCTACTGCCAAGCTTGACACCCATAACTCTATCACATCTCTGCTCCTTCTCTAGTCCAGGTGTAAGTGTCTCCTGTTACCTTTGGCTCCAGCGGAGAGTAGAGGTGGCTCCTCCCACCACCACCACCACCATGTGGAATTTTCTGGATTGTCTGATATCCTCCATTTGTGGCCACATGTTCAGTCTTGCTTTGACCACCCTGCTGTGTGGCCCTCTGTGCAAGAGCGGAGACCCACACACACATGCGCCTGACCCCCCCACCCCCCATATGTGTGTGCTGGTGACGTCACTGTCACTGCTGAGGGATGCGGAGGGTGTGTGTGTGTGTGCTCTGAGGTCCAGCAGCTCTGCCTCTTTGCAGATTATCAGTCACGACACTCGGCGTTTCCGCTTCGCCCTGCCTTCGCCCCAGCACATCCTGGGCCTTCCCATTGGTGAGTCTGTCCAGCTCAGCCCATCTCCTCCCTGGAGTCCAGTGGGACTTGCAGATGTAGAGACCAGTGCTGAGGGGTCTGGGAATCCCTTGTGAGGGGGAGGGCACAGTGGGAGCCGAGGCCGGGGTATGAATGTGAGACAGGTGTAAGGGCCATGGGAAAACAAGCTCCTGGGGGAGATAGCGCCTGACCCCAAATGACCCCTCCTTGTCTCACAGGCCAGCACATCTACCTCTCGAGTAGGATTGATGGGAACTTGGTCATTCGGCCCTACACCCCCGTCTCCAGCGATGATGACAAGGGCTTCGTGGATTTGGTGGTCAAGGTGGGGTCCCCAGGGCGTGGCTGCGGGTGGTGGCGTGTGGAAACCCGCTTCCTACTCAGGTGGCAGAGAAAGGGAGACCCATAGGGGAGTGGGTGATGGCCAGGTGAGGAGAGAAGAGGGAGCCTTCCAGGTGTAAAGGCTCTCTTGAGAACGGCCAGTCAAAAGTACAGAGCAGAACTGGGTGGTGGTGGCGCACACCTTTAATCCCAGCTCTCAGGGAGGCAGAGGCAGGTGGATCTCTGTGAGTTCGAGGGCAGCCTGGTCTACAGAGCGAGTTCTAGGACTGCCAGGGCTACATAGAGAAATCCTGCTTCTAAAAAAAAAAAAAAAACAAAACCAACCAACCAAACAGTGCGGAGCAGGCCTTGAGGGGTGGTTAGGGGTGGAGACATCGCTGGGCTAGACAGGGTCCTGGATGTCCCAGTCTGACTTGGGACTTTGTCCAGAAACGAAGGAAATGGTCATGGACCGAGCATCTGTTTGGGTTGGAATCTCTGGTCAGATAGGAAGAGCACAGGGAGGTGAGGAGTCTAGGAGAGAGAGAGAGAGACAGACAGACAGACACGCGGGCCCTAGACAGGCCCCTCCCAGTCTCCGTGGCTCCTGCTGGCCCTGGATGCATCAGAGTCTGTGACAGTGTTCTGCCCACCTCTCCCCTTCCCGGTCAGGCTCCTGCTTACCTTCAAGGTCTCGGCCCCTGGGAAGATGGCCGGGCCCAGACATGGGCACTGCTGTTCCTCTGTGTCCGTCGTATTCTTAGGCCCTTTGTACCATAGGCCTCGCCTTTCCCAAGACAGTAATCCCCCAGGGGCCCGGAAGGAAGTCACTTCAAGGGGGATGTTTGTGTGACTGCTGAAGCGTGTACCAGGAGTGGGGGCTGGGCTGAGCTGATGCCCAGAGCCTCACTGTGCCGGCAGACGCGGACACAGAACCTCGGCTGGTGCAGCACGATCCCTCCAGATAGTAACCCCGTGTAGCAGGTGGAAGCCTTGCTTTTGTGAGGTGTGGGGTGGAAGGCTTAAGTCTGGGGTGAATGGGACCTTAGGAAAGGCTGGGGTGCCCCAAGGCTGGCTGGGGACTGAGAGATACCTGTGTGGCTTGCAGGTTTACTTCAAGGACACCCATCCCAAGTTTCCCGCCGGAGGGAAGATGTCTCAGTACCTGGAAAACATGAACATTGGCGACACCATTGAATTCCGGGGCCCCAACGGGCTGCTGGTCTACCAGGGCAAAGGTGATGAGAGCAGGCATCCCCGGGAACTGGAGAGCTGGGGGTGCTGTGTCTGGGAAGACTGGGGGGTGGGGACAGGTGGTGTTGCCCCCTACCTTGGTCGGTGGCTGTTTAGAGGGTAAGTGGCCGGCGCAGGGGCTGCCCCTGGCTGTGCTTGGGGGGGACCAGGTTCATTTACAGACTCAGTGCCCCCCAAAACTAGCCAGCCAGTGTCTGAGTGGGAATCCTGCCCACCTTTGCCCTCTCTTTTCCATGGAGATCTCATTTGAGCAGGGGCCTGGATTCCAATCGTCAACTCCCAACTGCCCGGGAGTGTGTGGTGTCCTCCCTGCCCGGACCCCCGCAGGGCTTCGCTACTTCAATCACCGTTCTCTTCCTAGGGAAGTTTGCCATCCGTGCAGACAAGAAGTCCAACCCTGTTGTCAGGACGGTGAAGTCTGTAGGCATGATTGCAGGAGGCACAGGTGAGGGGCGGAGCCCTGGCTGAGCTGGGGGTGGGTCAGGACGTGGATGGGAAGCGGCAGGTTCGAGGCCAGGCCTGGGTGCCCCATACCTCCCCTTGCTTGGGTGCCTGGTGTCAGTGTGCGAGGACCCTGTTTTTTTATAGGCATCACCCCAATGCTGCAAGTGATCCGTGCCGTCATGAAGGACCCAAACGACCACACCGTGTGCTACCTGCTCTTTGCCAACCAGGTCAGTGAACAGTCTCTAGAACGGGCGGACTTGGGGCTTGGCCCAGGTCCTGGGCAAGAGTCTGACGGTTCCTCAGAGGTGCCGAGGATGTCTGGAATGAGGGGCAGGGCGAACATTCTGGCGGCAGCAGGTGTGGGTGGCTGCTGCAGGGGGAGCCCCAGGGCATCTCCCGACTCCTTCCTCCACACTTGGTGTGCCCAGGCAGAGTGTGGAGCTCTGGTAGAGTGGGAGGACACAGGCCTGGGCGGAGACGGAGGTGAAGTGCCAGGGGCTTGGTGAAGCCTGGCTTTTGTGACCTGTGTAGCCTGGCATGAGGAGTTGGCCCTTTCTGCCCTGCTCTCTGGTAGACTAGGCTGGTGAAGCAAGACTGTCGCGCCAGCCTTCTCGGGTCCTGTGTTTGGTGGCTGAAGATGAAATTATGTGAGGTCTCTAGAGGGACCAAGTTGAGTCCACCTGTCCCAGCAGTATAGAGGCCAGACCCTGGCACCTTGTTCTTCTCAGATATGATTCAGGTCATCTTGTCCCCAGAGCCTGTCAGGCCCAGCTCTGCACTGCCCATGTATCGGGCACAGTAGCCCAGGGGAAGCATGTTCTGCCCCGATCTAGTCTCGACCATCCTGAGACTTGGTCTCTGCACAGCTGTAGGAAACACCTTGATGCCCGAACTGGGGCCTTGGCTAGGCCAAGGAGAGAGAGAGAGCTTAAGCTGGCCATAAACCCACAAAGTGGAGACTGGACCTGAACTTATGATCTTCCTGCCTCTGCCTCTGGCTGCTGAGATTAGAAGCATGTGCCACCATGCCCAGCTCACAGGCTCCATTTATAAGGACCCGTTGGTCAGCTGCTTTGAGAGGCCCTGCAGGCGAGGTGGCTGGAGCGGGCCACTGGGTCACTAGGACTCTTCGTGAGCTTCAGCATCTGCCTCTGAGCCGCTGAGTGTGGCCTCCAGGAGCAAGACGGTCCACCCCTGGGTCTGTCCCTGTTGAGGTCCCCAAGGGCAGTCCCTGAGTCACCTTTCCTGACTGGGTGGCCTGTCCCCTGCAGTCCGAGAAAGACATCCTGCTGCGGCCTGAGCTGGAGGAACTGAGGAACGAACATTCCGCTCGCTTCAAGCTCTGGTATACAGTGGACAAAGCCCCGGATGGTGAGCATGGGGAACCCCAGGTGGAGTGGGAGGCTGAACCCTCAGCCCTGAGCCTTCACCAGGCTCATTCAGCACTCACGGCCTGTTCATGGCTGTGGGAGAACCGAATCTCGGAGACGGGAAGTAAGTGCCCACATCCCACAGCTGGGAAGCGGCAGAGACAGGGCAGGAATCCTGGTCCTTCACAATCTCCACACTGCCCCACTGTACAGTGGAGCCCACACTATCTCCTTGGGCCTGGCTCAATTTTGGGGTTGGGGGTTGGGGCGGCAGCTTCTGTGTGATTTGTAATCTGTAACAGCCTTTGTATGTGTTTTTTCTGGTCACTCACTCTGGAGAGGGGCTGGGGTGTTACGGTTGCCCTGACACTACCACGTGCTTGCATAAGCTGTGGGCCAAGTTCATGGTGCTCTGGAGGAGCCAGGAGCTGGAAGGAGGGAACGAGGCCCCCAAACTCCTGTGAGACTGCTCTCTGGGAACCGAACTGTCCTTCATATCCTGCTTGGAGTAAAATGCCAGAGTATACGAGGTCACATCGGTATTGGGCCGGGCTCGCTCTGCAGGCTTGAAGCCCTGGGTCTGACCTATGGCGTACGTAACACAAACTGGACGTGATGGTGGCACATGCTTGCAATCTCAGCGCTCAGGAGAAGGTGGGAGGCAAAGAGCGTCAGCAGTTCGTCATTCTCAACCACATAGCAAGTTCCAGGCCAGCCTGGGCCACATGGGACCCTTTCCCCTTAAAACAACAGCAGTAACTAACACTGCTTCCTCCATGACTGTTTCTAGTTCCCCCGGCAGAGAGGGCAAAGGTAGACTGTTTCTAGTCCCCCCCATCCCCCCACTCCTCCACCCCACCCACCACCCACCCCCAGGAGAGAGGGCAAAGATAGACTGTTTCTATTATTAACCCCAGGTAGAGAGGGCAAAAAGATAGACCGTTTCTATTATTAACCCCAGGTAGAGAGGGCAAAAAGATAGACCGTTTCTATTTATCTTGGGTTGAGAGAGCAAAGATAGAGTAAAGGAATGATTCCACCCAAGTTCACCCTGGTGCCCACCGAGTTTATTGGGGTCTTGCCAGGAGCACAGCTGCAGGGTCCCCTACAGGAACACGGTGACTCTGAAGCAGCGGCGTCACCTAGAAGCCCACCCCAGCGTGGGTGCCCACTCATGACCGAGGAGGCTTCCCAGGAGCTCCCTGGGCACCTTGCAGGCAGCTCCGTCCAGAGTCTCCTCTTCTTCCTGCGGCCTTTATAATCCTGGGGAGGCCCTGGTGAGTCTTCCACACTTGTGGAGTTTTATGAGCCTTGGCCTCCCTCCTCCCCCGGCAGGAAGGCGTTTCAGTGGGAAGTAACAGCTACCCAGCTCCATGCTGGCCAAGCCCTGCATGTGTGAGTCAGCGAGGCACTGGGTGTGGGTGTCTGAATGGCTTCTGTTCTTCTAGTAAAGAAATGGGGGGGAGTGGGAGATGGGCTGGCCCGGGAGCGGCTTGCTGGAGACCACCCTCCGGGGGTCAGGGCCAGGGCTGCCCCCTCGTGGCGATCTGTGGAAATGCAGGCCATCTCGCCGGGCTGGTTTCCCTAACAAGGCTCAGGCAAGAGTTGGGTCATCAGCTGGCATTTCCCTTTTATTCGATACCACCCTGATCCACAAGGAAGCAGCAACAGGCCCTGAGGACCCAGACACAGGGACAGCAGCCCATACATGTGGCAAATGCTAGCTTTCCCCAAGGCCACCTTTGGGACCCGCATAAGGAACGCCGTGCGGAGATGCCTTGTGAACCTCTCCTCTGTACCCGTCCGTGCTGTCAGACGGCTCGTTCCCAGGCAGCTGTCTGGCCGCGCCACGCCTTGTTGCAGAGGAATCCTAGGAAGCCTGCCGTGACTCACACGCTGAGTCAGAGGGGGTACAAATGGAATTTAGAAATGGAAGAAAAACAAGGGCTGGCCTGAAGTCAGGAATGGGGCTCACACAAACATTGGCTGTGATGCACGCCTTCCACAAATGGGCCCTGTATGTCACCCCGACATTCCCAGCAGCCGGGGTGCAAAGGGAAATGTGTTCAGTTACTTAGCTCATGGGATCACTGCTCGGAGGACATGATGGATCAAACGGTGGGTTCTTCCCAGTCCTGGGGTCTCCTGGGACTGTATTGGCCCCTCCTGCACCTGGGAACCCATAGAGGAGACATCATAAAGGCAATAACTCCTTGTCAGCGCCTTTAAAGAAATGATTAACGTTGTGTTTGTGTGTGTGTGTGTGTGTGTGGCGGGTGCATTCCACGGCATATGTGTGGTGGTTAGAGGACAAGCTTGTGGAGTCAAGTTCTGGGATTCGAACTCGGGTTACCAGGCTTGGCTGGCACAACAGGTGCCTTGACCCACGGCGCCAGCTCCGTGGCCCCCAGTGCCCTTTTTACCCCGAGCTTCGTGGTGTTTCTGTTGCGGTTGCAGCTTTGAGGAAGCCTGTCTGGGTTTCAGAGGACAGAGACTAGCGGGAGATGACCCCGAGTGATGGGAACTGGCAGGGGGCAGGTGGGGGGTGGGTTGAGGGGCCTCTGCCAGGCCTGTGGAGCCCTGCGTCTCAGAAGCAGCCTCAGTGGTAGGGGTCAGTGGCCCGGCCTCCCCCTGCTCGGCCGCTGCCTCCACCTGCCTCCCTCTGAAAGCAATCCAGGGATGTGCCCACAGCTCAGGGACTGGCCTGGAGCAGGTACCCTCAGATGGAGCAAGAGGTGTCAGAATTGTTCTGGGCATCCCGAACCAGCCAGCAGGTCCTTAAACGTCAATATTGGACCAGAACCCTCCCCAGCCGCCGTGAGCTGGCTTCTCTCTGATGTATTTTCTGTTATGAGGGATGGGAACGGTGGAAATACTGTGCACACAGGCCCAGGAAAGGAGGAGGAGGTGGCAGGACCTGGAGGGAGCAGCTGCCACCCAGGGCCCGGGCCTAGGGTTTGAGTCTGTCCTGGCCTCATTGGTGTCGGATCCCGGACTGCTCTTACATGCTGCCTCTCCAGGGGATTTTTGTTTCATTTATTTATTTTGAGACAGTCTCACTTTATAGTCCCTGAGCTGGCCTCGAACTCACATCCTCATTTCCCTTGTCTCTCTGAGGTGCTGGGATTTCAGTCCTGAGCCTGTCATTTCTCCTGGCCTGCTCATTGTTTACTGAGTGACAGTTTCAGGCCAGGGACCAGAAGCCAGCTGTGAACAAGACCCTACGTCTTGGGGGCCGGCTCTAGGGGGGCAGAAGAGCCAGGCAGTGAGCTTGCCGCTGGGGTTCAGGGTGAAGAGAGTGTCACTCTGACTAGCCTGGGCTGGACACCGCCTCAGGGAGACTCAGGGTGCGACCTTCAACGATTCTGGGTCCTCTGGCATCTGTTTCTATAAAATGAAATCCATGTGCCATACCCTGGGCCGGACACTTGTTTAGCATGCATGGGCCGAACTGCATCCTATCATTGTTAGACTCAATAATCCTGTGGTAGTTGTGGGGGCCCATGGGGCAGGTTTTCAAACTGTAAGGTGGGTGAGGGGAAACAGGAAGGCCTTGTTTTCCGGTTGCAGGCTGTCAGGAGGTATTGGGTTTAGGGATGTGTAACATCTGGGAAGGGTCAGGATGGACCGGGGCACTGTGGGTCAGGTGGGCAGTGGACCCCATTCTGACCGAACTGGTCTCTTGTTTTACAGACTGGAACTACAGCCAGGGCTTCGTGAATGAGGAGATGATCAGGGACCACCTTCCACCACCTGGGGAGGAGCCGCTGATACTGATGTGTGGACCTCCACCCATGATCCAGTTTGCCTGTTTGCCAAACCTGGAGCGAGTGGGCCACCCCAAGGAGCGATGCTTCACCTTCTGATGGCTGGACGCCGGCCACTCCCGTGCCTGCTGCTCATGTATTCACCACAGCCACCTGTCCGCCCTTTCCTTCCCCACTGTCCCTCACCCTAACATCAGCTCACATCCATACTGGGGCCTGGGTTCAGCCTGGCCTGCCCGGCCCTGGTCATCCAGCTGTACTGGCCCCTGAGGGGCCTCTTTGGGATCAGGACTTTGTATCAGGTGACCCCTGTTGACCACTGTCTGCATAAGCTCCTGTTTGGCACTAACTAGCCATTATCAGAGATGTCCCATGAGCACCCCCTTACACACACACACACACACACACACACACACACACACACACACACACAGAGGAGAGGAGAGGAAGAGAGAGAGAGAGAGAGAGAGAGAGAGAGAGAGAGAGAGAGAGCGCTAGCTGTCAGTACCACGTCTACCCATTGCCGTGGACCACAGTCTATAGAAAGGAAGAGGGCAGGGTAACAGCCCCAGCCCCAGAACCCATGCCTACCATCCAACCACCTGCCTTAGGCCATGACCTGGCCTGTGCCCCTCACACTACATTAGACGGTGATGCCCAGAGGTTCTCTCAGGAGGGTGTCTGGCATTGACAGACTACCCCCCACTGCTGGCCAAGCGTTCCTGGGGCAGCACATGGACCCTTCCAAAACCTCACGGCCTCCCCCCTGCAGCCTTGGGTGCCCTGAGTCGTCAGCCCAACAGAGTGGGGTGGACCTTGGGATCCACCAGAGCTCTGGCTTGTTTCTCCACCCTAAACCTCCCTCCCGCCTGGTCTCCAGCCTGGGGGAGGGTGTCTGAGCAGTGCCTCTTGCCTCGGGGACACACCCGTTGCCTGGCGCAGCCTCCAGCAGGTGGTGTCGACTCCTGCACACCGGCTTTTTTAGTCATTTATGGGCAGAAAAGAGTTGAAGTAAAACTTTGCTAATACTGACCCTTCTGGAGTCTTCATGGGGATCGCCAGGGAGGGGCAGAAGAGACAGACGTGTTTTATTTCAGATATGCATTTGTGTTGCCTGTTCAGAGTTTGGAAAGTGGGGAAAAGTAGATGGGAAGTTCACCCTTGTCCTGTCACCTTACTGATGACTGTCACATCCAGGTCAGGACAGCTCTGTGGAAGATATAGAGTGTGTGTGTAGGGGGGGGGGGGGGCGGCTCATCGGGCCTCTTTCCTGGTCCACTGTCCATGTTGAGACTTCCCTGTGATGTCTTTGTCATTGCCTTCTCTTTCCTGATTCCTAGCTCTGGGTTCTTCTGGGAAAGATGCTAGGCTGATAACATGTGTAAGGTGGTCACTTGAAGACAGACCAGGAGGGACTGAGGGCTGTTCTTAAAACCGGCTGGCAGGAAAGCCACCGCTGATGCCATAGCTGGGATGTAGAGACCTGATCCCTCTGGAGCAGATGTTCAGGCAGTGAGAATGAGGTCGAGGGCGTATAGTTGGAACAAGCAGCTTCCCGAAACATGAAGAAAAGCAGGAGTCTGGAGGGGCTGGGGAGCTGGCAAGGCAGTGTATGCCCCAATTCCAGCCCTGGGAAGTGGTCAGGATGGTGAGCAGGTTGGCCAGCCGACCTAGCCTATTGATGACTCCAGGCTCAGTGAAGGACCCTGTCAAAAAATTAAGGTGGATGAGGAGCAGCTGGAGAGATGGCTTAGAGGTTAAGAGCACTCTTCCAGAGGTCCTGAGTTCAATTTCCAGCAACTACATGGTGGCTCACAGCCATCCATAATGAGATCTGGTGCGTGAAGGCATATATGCAGGCAGAACACTATATACATAATAAATAAATCGTTTCGTTTATTTATTATGTACATTGGGGTTTTGCCTGCATGTAGGTCTGCGTGAGGATGCCATATCCCCTGGGATTGGAATTACAGCTGTGAGCTACCACGTGCATGCTGGAAATTGCACCTGGGTCCTTTAGAAGAGCAGCCAGTGCTCTTAACCTCTGAGCCATCTCTCCAGCCCCCATAAATAAATCTTAAAAAGAAATAATAAGGTGTGGGGAGAGGGAAAGACACCTGATATTGATCTCTGGCCTCCACATGTGCACAGTTGGTGGGCGCGCGCGCGCGCGCGCGCGCACACACACACACACACACACACACACACACACACACACACACACAAGAATGTAGGTGGCTAGAAGGGACAGGAAATGGTAAACAAGTGGGTGGGGCTAGACACAAGAAGAAACCACGTAAACAAACACCCAGACCTGCCTTCAGCTAGTAAGGCTAGAGTGGAGCCAGGGAGAGTGGGAGGGGTCACAGGAATGCCCGCGGGAGCTTCAACGATGGGGCACCCCTCTCTCCTACCCCATCATGTCCCTGGAACTCTGCACACAGGACTCTTGTGTGCTCCATTTAGAATCCCAAGCCCCACAGGCCTTTCATCAGTGTGAGCCATTGGCACAGGTTAGGTCTGTGTTGCCCGAGGATGCAAAATTAGCGTTTGAGGGGTGGGATTTGAAAGGGATCTGGTCTTATTCTCTGAGGAGATGTGCTGGGCCTGGCCCACACCCTTTCTGCCTCAGTTTTCCAGTCCACCATATGGGCTAGTGATTCTAGGCTGAGGCTTATCTAGAAAGCCACAGTAGCCCCTTTATTCTCAGAAGTTGATCTTGGGGTGAGAAATCACTCCCTAATACATGTAATTGGGGGAAAGAATCGACACACTCCAAGCACGTCAGAACTAGTAAAAAGAAAAGGAATTCACAATAGGGTGTCACTTGCTTATGTAGTATGTCCGTGTACAGTTGAAGTCCTCCAGGAGAGGTGCAGTCGTTGGGGAGGCTTGTCCAGAGCAGGACCCTGGGCACGTCCCCACTCCAGTGCGGCTGGACTCTGGGTTTCACAGTCAGGTGTGGTTTCTACAGTTGCCAAGCAAAGTGAATTTCTTTGGCTACCACAAGGCAGTTTCATCGCTGGAAGGTGCATTTGTTTGCCCCGGGGAGAAAGACCTGATCACAGAGCTCCATTCCATGGGGGAGTCCAGTGGGGCTGCCCCCACCCAAAGCCTCATCCCCAGTGCCCAAACCAAAATTAGATGACTTCCTTATAGTCTCGTGTACTGGAGGAAAACACGGATTTTTTATTTTTTTTTTTTTTAACAACTTCACTGTCAAGAGGAGTGAGGGCTTTATTGACAAGACCCCCGTGGCCGGTTCTGTTCCCTGCACGGCTCAAATAGCCCCAGCACTGAGGCTAAACCTGCAGCTATCTATCCCTTTGCCCACCCTGGGGTCCTGCTCCTCTTGAACAACTAGAGACAGGTGGGATGCTGGTGGTCTCTGTTTGAAGACAAGGATAGAGAACGAGCCAATCTTAGCTCCACTCCGGGGACCAGGATGCTTCTCCAGTGTCAGATGCAGTGCTGAACCCCAAGGCTTTTTGGCTTCTGCCTAGCTCTTCTTTGAGTCCTGATGCACTTTTTTAAATAACTGACTGGTAGTGGACGTGGAGTCCAGCCAGCGGAGAAGATGGGTTCCCGAAACCGAAAGTGAGCTTGAATCTTTCACCCTACAGCAGGTGAATCTTTCACCCTACAGCAGGTGGCCAACAGTCTTCGGAGAGTATCTACACTCATACCGGGGTAGGACGCCCGGGATAAACTCGGCTTACTGGGATGGAAAGGCAGCCGCAGACCTGTGCACACGATGCAGTTCCGGGATAACTATGCAGACAGCTTGTTCTCTTTCTGACTTTCTTTAGCATAAAGGGGGTCGGGCAGACTACCTCACCCAGGCATCCCGCAAAGTAGGCGGGTCACCTTAGGGGGTAACCTTTACCCGCTCAAAAATTCTTCTCACATTAGCAGTGAGGACTCGGGCGTCACCCCGAATCGTTATTTTCCTTACTCATAAGTTTAAGGCATGAACAGCAACCGCCCGGATCATCAGGGGTGAGGAGTTATATTCTCATCACAGCTGTGGTGACTTTCCGATCGGTCGTTCAACCGGCAAAACCGTCGACGTGAAAGTTTTCTAGTGGTTTCCAATCATAGCCCTTTAACTCTTCCTCTGTACAAGGAGAGGGGGAAAGGAAAAAAAAGAATCCACTACGTCCCGGCCTTCTATATGCAGATTGAGAGCGGGCACCGCAGAGGCTCACGGGGAGCGGCCCCGCCCCTTCCGCTCCGAGCCCCTCTGGAGTTGTCGCGAGAGTTGGTCGTCGGGGCGTCGGGAGCTGCTGGGCGCTGCGGCCGCGGAGCGGGCTCGTCGCTGACGCTCGCTGCGCTCTCCGCTAGCCTAGCGGCGCAAGATGGCCGACATCTCGCTCGACGAGCTCATCCGGAAGCGCGGGACGGCGACCAAGGGACGGTGAGCGGCCTTGGCCTCTATTCGGGGGCTCGTGGGGCTCGCGGCTTCGTAGGGTTCGGGGGCGGGGGGGGAGGCAGAGAAGGGAGCCGCCCGCGCGGAGCCGCCTGCTCCCGCCCCCCTGCGTCCGCCGCGCTCCTTATTGGCCGGGCCGCGCGGGCCCATCCGCCCGCCAGCCCACTGCTTATTACCGGGCCCCGGGAGGCCCAGCTTCGGGCGGGCCGAGGGCTGGGCAGCGCCGGCCCTTCCTGCCTGGGTTCTGGGTCCGGGGCGGCCCACGGTGGCGCCGTCTCGGCTCGCGCGTTGCGGCCCTCGGAATTAAGAGGGCGGAAGTTGAGCGGACGGGACCGCAGCCCAGACCCCGTCCTGCAGGCTCTCCTGAGCCACTGTGGTTACCTCTGACCAGCTGAGAGGCCTGGTTCCTATCACTAGAGTGTCTGTAATGTGGTGGTCGCCAGTTTTCTCGAGACGGCGTCTCACATAGCGGGAGCAGGCCTCGAACTCTGTGGTGTTGCTGAGACCGGCCTTAAAAGCCTAGATCCTCCCGCTTTCGTTTCCCCAAGTGCTGCTGGGATGACAGGCGAGTTTGTTTGTGTTCTGAGAAGCTGGCGCCTTCCATGTTGCCCAGGCTGGTTTCGAACTCCTGAACTCGATCGGCCCCCCTGCCTCAGCCTCCTGAGTAGCGGGGACTCCAGGCACTCCCGCGCTATTTGTTTACCTTATGCCGGTTTCACAAATGGGAAGCTGGAGCCTGAGAGAGGGTAGGGTGGCTTTTCCCAAGGCCACGGAGTGCTCGGAGTTTTAACTGCCGAAAAAGACAGGGTGCAGTGGTGTTCGCTGATGGATGTCCTGGACTCGGTGAGACACTCAAGACTCAATAGACATCAACATCGGTAGCCATCTCGAGCTTTTATGGCTGTTGGGTCTGGAAATGACCAACCTTAGATGAGCAGAAGCAACTTTATTCCATCACCTTGGGGTACCAGAACTTCTAACTAGTTAGGGCCACAGGCAGGTCGGGATCTGGCTCAGTGACCCTGAGAAGAGGCCATAAGCTGCTGCTGCTGCTGCTGCTGCT